ATGTCAAAAATTGCTACTATCTACTTTATAGTAACATTATTATTGTTAATTTAATATTGCGATACTTTAACAAGCGATGGAACATCAAGGACTATAACCCCTACACATACTGGACGATTTGTCCTCTCTGTTTCATTAATAGCTTTTTGTCATCTTGAAACTGAGGGAAAATAGAGGAAAACTCACATTTTCAACATCGAATGGCTGACTAGTGGGACCAACGACGATGAGAGCCCGACCCAGATATACCGTACGCAGGAAGGTTGGCCGCCGACTGTCATCGGTCACTGTCTGGAGGCAAATTACTTCCACTGGAAGCACCGCCTTCCATTGATCTTTTGAAAAAAATATCGACACTTCGAGCTCCCAGTCATCTGGTGTGCGAATGAACAGCTGGGAGTGAACGACGTCACTGGCGGAAGGCTTGAGAAGGAGCATAAATCATGAACGCGTTTGGTAATTCTGGCGAGTAAAAGCTGGCATCAGCAATGATTGCTAAACAAGTTATATTATTAAATTCTTTTCAGCGGTTTGCTTAATCTGAAGAAGAAGAAGAAGAGGAGGAAATATCGTGTAAGTTTCATGACGAAAAGTGCTTTGGTAGATTAGCATATAATTCGTCACATTATTTTGATTCATCGAGGGGATTTTATTCTGGGAAAACCCTTCAGGAGAGAAAATCGCCATTTTTGTCGGGTTTATTTGAAGAAATAGACATTAATTTTGGCGAACTTGGGAGCAGTCTCATATCGAAGGAATTTCTTTTGCTATTACGTCGGACAGAATCAAACTTCTCATTAAAGTGCATTATGCTATGGAGGAATTCCAAAGTAGGTAAAAAAATGTAAAACATATCCCTTCCAGACCTGCAACAGTTTGTCTAAAGTCTTTTAGATGCAAGCGAAGCCAAGTTGAAGGAATCGCATTTATTTTCAGAAACAAGGAACGATTTATTCTTGAAAAATTATATTTAGCATTTGCACAAAATGCAGTAAAAAAGAGGTTTCGGTTGTATTTTGTTTTACCGCATCAACCTAGATGGCACATAATCAAAGTGTACATGAATGTTGCCGCAAAGGCCCTTCTTAAATGTGAGTCATGTAGAAATATACTTT